GAATGAGAGAGAGGATACGAGAGAAAGAGAAAGAATTAGAGAAAGAGAATGAGTAAATGAGAGAGAAAGGCGGGGAGAATGAGAGAGGGAGAGAGACCCAGACCCAGTCATGATAAATAAGAGGACAGAGTCTTCCTGCAGGAAAGTTCTAGAAAATTGCTTTTTCCCATGAGTTGGGCCAGGAGCGTAGAGCAGGGAGTCTCCAACCTTGGCAACTTTACAAGTTGTGGACTTCATCTCCCAGAATGCCTTGCCTTGTGGACTCCAAACACCAAGCATGGCTGGTTGTGGAATTCTGGGTGTCGGGAGTCCTCAAGGCACGGAATTCTGGGAGTGGAAATCCGCAAGGACGTAAGGATGGAGACCCCTGTGGTATCTGTCTTCGAGAGACTTGAATGCAGGGCTAACGATCTGTTCGCACGGTTGTGTCGTGTGTTATCAGCGTCAACTCCTATTTCGAGGGTCCTTTTAGAGTTGCCCACAGAAAGGGAGGCGGGGAAAGGGTTTGAAAAAGCAATGCGGCAGCTTGGAAATCGAAAGCGCATTCCATCAATAGCTTTTCAGAGAAAAGTAACTGGAGTTCCTGCTGCGCAAAATTCAAACTGGGCAGCCTGACGGATGACTCTGGGCTATGGAGGTGTCCCATTGGAGGATATGAATTGGGATACACCCAGGGGGGCGGGGGTTTAATTGGGGTAACTGCCGGAATCCTGACAATCAGGACTAAAATAATCTGACTTTACGGATTTATTTACAGATAAGAGAAGATTTACAGATATGAGAAGAGAAGATTGGGGCTGGGTGCTCCTCGGAAGTTCACTTGGAACTTGGGATGGTGGCTAAATGGTCATAAGGTGAGGATGACCCCTACTTCGGAAGAATCTCCCACCCCCCGCCCCCCCCCAGTACCTGGATGGCCGGGACGAAGGTAAAATAGCCAATCAGGATGATCCCCAGCTCCGTGCCCATGTTCTTCATGATGGACCAACTCTCGTTGCTCAGACCTGGAACGTAAGTGGTGAGGTGAAGGCTTGGTCATCCCACCAAGCAGGAGCTGCTCCACCGGGTTTTCTCCGGGGGTGGGTTTCAAAAAAAAATAATAATTTCCGACCGGTTCAGAGAATTCGCTTCGTGCGTGTATATGTGCAGGACTCAAACAGCGCCCTCGGTATCAACCCTGGTGACCGGTGCACCTAATGCGCGTGTGTGCAGAGCACAGAGACCGCTCTCTGTGTCAAGTCAACCAGCGTGCCGTGTTTTCGCTCAGCTGAAGCGCAGCAATCCGCTCTGCCATGCAAATCAGCTCAGCTGATAAACACCAGAATGTAGGAGAGGTAAGAGCGGGGGAAGGCGATCGGGGCCAGCCAGAAGGAGCATTGGCCGGTTCTCCGAACCAGTCAAAATTTTCACAACTGGCCCGCCAGAACCCGTCCAAACTGGCTGAATACCGCCTCTGGTTTTCTTGCTGTGTGACTGCCCGAGGGAACAGGTTCTGCCAACAACTGTGTTTCCCTGAAAATAAGACCCTGTCTTATACTTTTTTTCCCACCAAAAAAGGCATCGGGTCTTATTTTGGGGGGATGTCATCCACTGAGTAACCTCACTTGTGCGAGTGTCCCCCCGCGGCCTCCCTCCGGAAGTCCTTCTACGGCCGGCAAGGCTTTCCTGAAGGCCTCAGCAGCCGATAGGATCGATCCAGAGCTTTGTTATCTGCTAGAGGCCTTCAGGAAAGCCTGGCCATCCTTGCTGGCTGCAGAAGAAATGGGCCGGCCAGGCAGGTGTCAGGTCGTGTGAGGCCTGGCTACACCTGTCCAAAGGTAAGGAGTAGGGCAGCTCCACCCACCTTCCACCCCCAGCCTAGCTTAATTTTTACCCATCCACTCTGGAGTGGGCAGATCTTAATTAGGGCTTATTTGGGGGGGATAGGGCTTATATTGGGAGCACGTGTAAAAATCAAGCTAGGGCTTACTTTCAGGGTAGGTGGTATTTGAAACAGGGTATCGTTGGCAAACCCAGCCTATCTCAGCCCAGGCCTTACCAGCTTTTTCTGGGATGATGAAAAAAAGCTTACTCTTTTACGTACCCTGAGCAATCCGCAGCTTTACTTCCAGGTCGACTGGCGTGGACACCACCGATTTGGTGAGAACCAGCACGTTCTCGATGCCGATCACAACCACCAGGTATGGGAAAATTTCTCTGGAAGGAAAAAGGGAAAGAGAAGCTGAACTCAACACGGAAGCTGCAGCTGTTGTGGCGCACCAGCAGCCAGCAGAGCCGGTAGCTGACTCGGACAGTGAGGAGGTGGTGGAAGAACCTGGGCCAGTCCTGGAGTCTGGGGAGGGCTCTGCATTGGGGCAGAGATGGGGCCAGGGCCCTCTGACAGTTATCGGCTGCCTTCTGAGTCGGAGGTCAGTGGGGAAGAAGAACAGCTGGAGCCTGTTCCCAGTGTGCCCATGCGCAGAGCTGCCAGGAGAAGGGAACAGTTAAGGAACAAGGGTCGACTCGGGAGTAAAGCCACAGGTGGACGGTGAATGGCCCCTCCCAGAGGGAATAAAGAGGAGCAAAAGGGGTTTGCAGGGGAGAATTAGTTCAGTTCATTTGGGTGAAGATCTGTTCCTGACTTCTTGCCAAGTAATTGCTGCTACAGTGTGGCGTTTGGAAGCTATCAGCCTGGCAACTTTGATAAAGCCTGATAAAGGCCTGTAGTTGTGAGATCTCTCGAAAGACGGTTGGCCGGGACTTTGCTGGAGAGGAATTCACCTTAACCTAAATAAAAGGGGTTTTTATCGGGACGAGGAGTCGGCTTCGTGATCTTGGGAATCCTAGGTCAGAACAGGAGGAACCTGGGAAGAGAAACACTAAGAAGAGAGTCACCAGGACTCCCTCTGAAGAGGGAGTGCTCGATCCAGGACCCGCTGACAGTTTCCGGCTCACCACGGTTCAGCCAACTTACCCTCCGTTGAGCGTCGGCGTGAGGCCAAACAGCGTGCACAGCCCAACGGACATCAGGAGAGAGCTGAGCACTGTCACGACGGCGGCCAAAGCCAGACCCCACTTGGATTTCACCATGTCGATCTTGCCTGAAGAGGGGGAAAAAGCCCATCCGTCTTTGAGTGAGACAGACAAGAGAAAGACGCACGCACGGACTTCGTTCCAGACCCGAGAGAAAGAATTAGAGGCTACAGACCAACAACGGCACGAGTCGGTGACCACAAAAGCGCGACCGTGGTCGGTAAGACCACACTCGGAATAATTGCATCCAATTTTGGTGCTGCTGCGGTGAGGTAGCCGGGGAGAGGCACCTGTGGCTAATTGTCCTAGACCCGTTGCTAAGGGCCTGAATTTTGGACATCTCTTGATTAGATTTATTTGTAACCCATCCGGTTTCAAAATGACTTGAAACAAGCTGGGATGGTCAGCAGAGTTCCCGCTGGCTCGCAACCTTGGCTCCGAAAAGAAGGGGCCAGTGTGAACACTTCATACAGGCAGCTCTCGACTCACGACCACCATTAAACCCCAGATTGCCGTCGTTCAGCAAGACCTTTTGCTAAGTGAGATTCGCCCCATTTTATGACCTTTTCTGCCATGTTGGTTAAGTAAATCACTGCAGTTGTTAAGTAAGTCATCTTCTGACAAGCCAACTTTTCTGACCAAGGCCTCCTGAGACTGTAATTAAGCACGCGCTTAATCCAAACAAGTCTTGTTTTACTTCAATGCTGGGAATTATGTCCATTCCCAGCCCGTAATGAGTCCCAAACAGTCCCCTGAGATAAGCACCCACCTTTCTCGCCTTTGGATTGCTGCTAGCAACTAAAGGGCCAAATTAAAGTACAAAGTCCACACAGAGCTTCAAGGTTTAATCTGAACACAGTGAACAAAGTTGCTTCCTGCAAAGGCTCATGTCCCTTTGCTCTTCCTTTATGTCTTATGGGAGGGCATAAGCCTTACTCCCCAAAAGTTGCCCCTTTTGCCTTAACTGTTCTTGCCTTCTGGCGGCTCTGCGCAAGCGCGCATTGGGAACAGGCTCCCCCTGTTCCTCTGCCTTGCTTCTGTCAGATTCTGGAGGCTCCGGAGTCAGCACGGAACTCTCAGTGGGCCCTGACCCCCATCTCTGTGTCGGACGCAGATCCGTCTTTTGAGTCCTCCCAGACTGGCACATGTTCCTCCCCACTGTCCGACTCTGCTGCTTTCTCCGTGGGCTGCCGGAGGACCACAACAAAGTCAATGCTGAAGCCAGACTCACTTAACAACCGTATGACTCACTTAACTTCTGCAGTGACTAACTTAACAACCGAGTTTAAAAAAGGGCATTAAGACAGGGCAAAATGCACTTAACAACCGATTTGCTTAACAACTGAAATTTGGTGCTCAACTATGGTTGTAAGTCAAGGACTAAACATATAGGAAATTGTTTGACGGCTCACTTTATCCTGGACAGGAAGTCCTCGACTAAAGACCAAAATTGAGACCAACACCCTGCGGTCATGTAAAGATTCCCTTTTGCAGCCAAGTCAGCGGGGAAGCAGAATTCATTGAACAATCGTCTTACTAACTTAACAACTTCAGTAATTCAGTTAACAACCATGGAAAGGCAGGTTGTACAACAGGGCAAAACTCAGGAACAAACGTCTCGCTTAGCAACGGGAAAATTTGGGGCTCCGTTGTGGTTTTAAGTCAGGGACTAACTGTACACGAAGCCGTTCCGTCATCTTGCTCGAGCTAAACACTGTGCGGGAAGACAGGTCATCAGAGGAGACAAAACTGGGTGAACAAATGCCTCGCTTAGTGACGGCAAATCTGGCGTTCAAGTGCGGTCGTAAGTTGAGGACAACCTGACCTGATCGAGCCAAACAGCCTGTTGACTCGTTCGGCCGAACTTACGGGTGGAGAAGTAGATGTAAGCAAAGAGGATGACATAGGTGGTGACGAGAGGGATGAGTTCGGCAACGCCGATTTCTTCCTTAAAATGGACGTGGACCATCTGGTCTTCCCGCAGGCTGCTGTTGGCGCTGGGATGGAGCAGCTTGAGCCGCGAGCGGAGGCTGGAGAGGAACCTGTCCCGGGAGAGAGCGAAGAAGAGGCCCCATCATCCACAAGGCATCGGGGGGGGGGGGGGGGGGTACGCAAAACAATTCCTTGTTCCCAACAAACTCTCCTCCCCGCAGCGTCTCCCCACAAGTCTCAGTCCCCAAGGATGTCGCTGAAAGAGGGGCGGGATGCTCTCCTCCCGAGTTGTTGGATCAGCCTGTGCTGTTCCCACCTTCTCTCCACCCTCCGTGCTCAGGGATCAAGAGAGGCTGGTTTTTGCTCATCGCCTGAGCTCCGTCGCTCCTTAGGTCCACTGCTTGCCCTCCGTCATCCTGCCACCCGTTGCTTCCTGCTAACAAGCCATCCCAATCCTGAGGGGCCCTGAGCTGCCACGGCCCGGCCCTCCCCACATTCCTCCGAAGCCGTTTCCTCGATCTCTGTCAGCTCCAGCTTGTCGATCCTCCGCAGATTCAGGCTTTAATGACACCTCCTTGTTCTGACCTGGGCTTCCCCAACAGCACGAAGCCAACCCCTCGTCCCAATAAACCCCTTTTATTTCATTGACAGTGAATTCCTCTCCAACAACATCCCAGCCAACTGTCTTTCAAGAGAGTTCACAATGACAGACCTTTATCAGGCTTGAAAAGTGACCAGGCCAATATTTTTCAGATGCTACAATACTTGGCAAGAATGCAGGAATTGAACTCATTGTCCCCTGCAAACCCCACTCCCCTTTCGTCCTCTTTCTTCCCTCTGGGAGGGGCCATTCACCATCCACCTGTGGCTTTACTCCCGAGTCGACCCTTGTTCCTTAGCTGTTCCCTTCTCCTGGCAGCTCTGCGCATGGGCACACTGGGAACAGGCTCCAGCTGTTCTTCTTCCCCACTTATCTCCGACTCAGAAGGCAGCTGATAACTGTCAGAGGGCCCTGGCCCCATCTCTGCCCCAACGCAGAGCCCTCCCCAGACTCCAGGACTGGCCCATGTTCCTCCCCCAACCTCCTCACTGTCCGAGTCTGCCGACAGCTCCGCTGGCCGCTGTCGGGCCACAACACTACTCTCAAAGGAAAGCATGTATCTAATCTACCCGCATGCATTCATATCACCCATCTATGCATACTATACACACATACAGATAGAGAGAGAACGTCCCAGACAAACCCTGCGGACTCTGTTCAAGCGTCGCTTATATTCTACGACCTTGACTGAAGAAAGGGAACTTCCAACTATCTTTTCGGCTGTGCTCAACACTTTCTGCCCACCTCAAAAGAAAGTATATCACCCCCCCCCCCCCCCGGTTTCCCTGAAAAAAAACCCTAGCGTGTATTTTTCAGGATCCTCGTACTATAAGCCCTGTCCCAAAAATTAAACCCCGGTTAAAATGGTCAGTCGGATAGATACGTTTTTAGTACCGCATTTCCTCGAAAATAAAACCTAACTGGAAAATAAGCCCTAATGAGTCTTTTGGAACAAAAATTAATATAAGACCCCGTCTTGTTTTCGGGGAAACACGGGTTTCATAGCCATGCATAAATATACCTACACTGATACATACAAATATAATGTCGGGATTCTGGCAGTTACCCCAATTAAATCCTGAGTCTCGAGCCAAACTTCCAAAGGATTTATGGGGAGTTAAAATGTCTGGCACTGCCTGGGTGTAGCCGACTCTGAGGCACATAATTCACTGTCACCCTTGACCCTGGTTTCCCCCCCTGGGTGTATCACAATTGATATTCTCCAATGGGACACATCCATAGCCCAGAGTCATCAATCATGGTCTCCAGTTAGAATTTTGTGCAACAGGAACTCCAGTCACCTATTTACTATCTCTGAAAAACTATTCATGGAATGCACTTTCGATTTCTAAGCTGCCACACTGCTCTTTCAAACCCCTTTCCCCACCTAACCAGACAGTAATGCCAATAAAATAGGATGCTCTCAATCATCCCTCTGTAGCAGGAGTATCAAACTTGAGGCGTCACGCAACATATCGGGACTGTTTTCCCCACTTCAGTAAACCGGGTGTGGATGTGGCCAACATGTGATGACGCATCCAGCCCAAGGACAGGGAGTTTGACAACCCTGCTCAATAGAAAGTGGTAAGGACAGGGGAAGGATATTAAAGATGGATACTAAGAAGACATTAAAGTCGCAACTCAAGGAATACGTGTACTTCCAATTTGCCATAGCCAAACCATTGATTTGCTTAAAACCACAATGATTCACTTAATGACCACCGCAAAAATGGTAATAAAGTCACATAAGCTACTCATTTTTATGGCTGTCAGAAGTTACAACGGTGTTGGGCTGGCTTTGTTATGGTCCTGACTTGAAAATTATCTGCATTGCTAGAGTAAAAGCTAACGTAGATGCGGCTGTGGCAGGGACAAACTCTCCAAAGGAGGAGTTGTAAACATCTTAACGGAGAGCCATGCGAGAGGTGGAGGCACCTTTGGAGAACATCACAAAGAAGGTCCCAGAGTGGACAAAAAGTTTCTCCAAGCATATTTCAGTCTCGCAAAGCAACTCACCTGGCGTCGTAGTGCCGCAGACCCAAAGTGATGGCATAGATGACCACGCGCTTCCGGTTGTAGAGATTCACCCCGCTGTACTTTCCTGGAACTCCAAACAGGAGATCTGAAGAGACCGGGAGAAGAACAGGAGGTGAGTGCGAAGGACGCCTCATCCTAAGCAATGGACGAGGTGAGGCAACTACCCATCTTGAAGGACGTGCTCGGTAAACCCGGAAGAACTGCTCAGTCTGGAAATCCTGGTAAATG